ACTTGTGTGGAGCGGGTGAGGCCATTCGTTTTATTTCTTGATTGATTAAACTTATCAGTTAAGCATGGTGCCCCACCCTTGTAATCCTGACATCTGGGAGGCTTAATAGATCAATAAAAATAATTTAAGGCCAACCTGAGCTATACTGTGAAATATTGTCTCAAAAAAAAAAAAAAAAAAAAAAAAAAAACAAGGCTTGGGGATGTAGCTCAGTGCTATAAGTCCATGGTAGAGCCCATGCCTAGAATCCCCCAGTAAGAGGCTGGGTGTGTGTGGCTCAGTGGTAGAGCCCCTGCCTAGAATTCCCCAGTGAGGAGCTGGGGTTGTGGCTCAGTGGTAGAGCCCCTGCCTAGAATCCCTCAGTGAGGGGCTGGGGTGTGGCTCAGTGGTAGAACCCCTGCCTAGAATCCCCCAGTGAGGGTTTGCGGGTGTGGTTTATCCACTCAATCCACATATTGCCTAATGTGGACTTACTTGCCCAATTAGGCCCTAGGTTCAGTTCCCAACACCAAAGAAATAGTAATCAATAAACAAAACCACATCAAATCCTGTCTTTCCCGCCCCAAACCCACTCTGGCCTTCAGAAGAATGAGTAAGGTCTTGTCTGGGCTGAGACTCTTCCTGACCCTCCCTGTGCCTGCCCCAGTCTGCATTTGCTCCAGCCCACAATGTGTCTCCCTGAGTTCCTCACACCTGCCTCTGAGTCTTTGCACTGGCTGTTTCCCCGTTGCTGGGATGCTCTTGCCACGTGGCTTATTGATGAGTCCTTGGCTCCCCAGGTTAACCTCGGAGAGGCCTTCCTTAGCCACAGCTCTAGACATAATACTCCCATGCCCGATCTTCCCTCCCCTAAGCTCTTCCTCACAGTCCAAGCTACTTCCACAGAAATACTTGTATAATTGCTTTTCTGTCTCTTAAGGACGGGAGATCTGGGCTGGAGAGGTAGCTCAATGGCTAAGGACACGTGCTGATCTTGCAGAGGACCAGGGTTTCATTCTCAGCACCAACAAGGGGGCTCACAACCATCTGTAACTCCAGTTCCAGGGGTTCCCATGCCCTCTTGTGACCTCTGCAGCTTCTGCACCCACATGGTACACAGAGATACTAAAGTCAGGTGCATGTGTGCACGCACACACACACACACACACACACACACACACACACACACGGATACACATGAAAATACATGAATATTTTTAATGAAAGCAAGAATAGGCACTCTGCAAAGACTGACTTGCCATGATCTCAGCTCCTAGTGCCAAAGGCATTTCTGTCCATCTGTCTCTAACTTTTAAAGTTTTACTATTAAATTAATTGTACTTCATGTATGTGAGTGTTTGGCTCGCATGTTTGTCAGCACATGTTGGAGTTCAGAAGAAAGGGTCAGATCCCTGGGATTGGGGTCACAGACAGTTGTCAGCTGCCATGTGGGTGCTGAACCTGGGTCTTCTGCAAGAGCAACAAGTGATCCTAACTGCTTGGCCAACTCTCTGGCACCCGTCTTCATTTCTAAAACTCAGCTGAAGGCAAATTAAAGCCACATCCGAGGCACAAATACTTTGTTGTCGTTTGTTGTTGAAACGGGGTTTGTATAGACAAGGCAAGCCCCAAACTTTCGACGTAGCTAAGGATGACCTTGAACTCCTGATTCTTCTGCCTCTGCTTCCCAGGTGCTGTAGATTGTGGGTGGACACCACAATAGTACACCACACCTGGCTAACAGTTTGTTTTTTTGTTTTTTTGTTTTTTTGGTTTTTTTTTTTTTTTTTTGGTTTTTCGAGACAGGGTTTCTCTGTGGCTGGCTAACAGTTTTGATCCTGTTTGCTTTTGTGAGCCGGTCTCCCTATATAGCAAAGGCTAGCCTTGAATTTGCCAGCTTTTTTTCCTGCCACAGCCTCTCAGGCCCTTCAGGGAGTGGCTTCACAGGTTTAAATTAGACATGAATTCCCACTGACATAAAAAAAATTGTGTGGGGTGTGTGTGTGATGTGTACACATGTATGTGTATGTATGCCTGCCTCCATATACACAGGATACACGTGCCCCTGCATGTGTGTGAGGTCAGAGGTAGAGATCAAACATCTTCCTCTTTCTCCACCTTTTTAATTTTTGCTAAGGGTTGTTGTGTTTTAAATGTGGGTATGTGTTTTGTCTGCTTGTAGGGCTGCACACCAAGTGCGTGCCTGCTACCTGCAGAGGCCAGCAGAGGGCGCCAGATCCCTCTGGACCAGATGGTAGTGTGTGCTGGGAACTGAACCCACATGCCCTCCAGAATGTGATCAGTGCTCTCAACTGCTGACTCACCTCCTCAGCCCCTCCACCTTATTCTTTGAAGTAGGGTCTCTCATGAAACCTGAGGCTCACCGTTTCAGCTAGAATGGCTCACCAGTGAGCCCCAGGGATGCACCCTTACGCATCCCCGCTAGGGTTACAGGCAATCACAACCGTACCAGGCTTGTGCATACTGCTTGCCGCGCAACAAGTCAGCTCCCCAGCGAAGCAAGCACTTCCCCACTGAGCCATATCCCCAGCCCTGGGATGGACGTCTGTACCCTAGAGATGCCATCTTTATTAGCAATGCTGTGTGGCATGCCTTTTCCGTGGGTTACAGGGACATCCGAGCTATCCCCAACCTGTCCCCCCAGAGCCCGCAAGTCAGAGAGAAGAGACAAAACAGAGAATCATCCAAGGAACCCATAGTGACAATCCACGGAAAATGCTGCCAAAGAAAACACAGGGTGAAATGTGTGTGGTGGAGTACGCCTATCAACCCAGTACGCTGGAGGCTGAAGTGAGGGGTACAGGGTGTTTGAGATCAGCCTTGGCAACATAGGGAGACCGTCTCAAAAGAGGAAAAAGAAAGGCACTGAGCGTGAACAGCATATTGTGAGAGTGGATCTAGAGTGGAGGGGTTGGAACAGTAGGGAGGGGAGAAGACAGATGGGACAGTAGAGACTCGGGACAACGTGCTACAGAAGGATGCTCCAAGGCCTGAGAAGTGAAGGTCTGGGGTGGGAAGAGGAAAGCTGACCAGGGAGCGGAGGACAGGGTCCGGTGGGTAGGAGGGGTCTTTGTAAAGCAACAAGTGGGGATGTGACTGGGGGGGGGGGGGAAGAGGGGGAGGGAGAGGTAAAGGGTCAGATTGGGATTGGGAAACACCCTGTGACTGCTAAGTGGGAAACGGGGTGGAAGGACTCATAGACTTAGACCACCCAAGGAGGAAACCACAGCTGGGATCCAGGTGGCAGAGGACGAGACGAGGGTGATGTTGTGGAAAGGGAGCCAAGTAGGAGAGAGGCTTGTAAACTGAGTTCTTCATGGAACCTTATAACGCCAACTCCATATAACCCACGTCCAGTGTTCCTAGGACCCCAAGTCCAGACAGGTGGGTGGGTCCGAGGCTGGCCAGTCACTAAAGTGAGACAGAAGTAGAACGGTGGTTAGGGTTAGGGCCCTGAGTGGGCAGTCGGGGAGCTTGGAGTTCATCCTCAGGGCTAGAGGTCAGACAGGGCTAGCCATGGTTAAGGGGTGGGGTCTGTCTCCGAAACATCCTTCTAGATCCTAAGCAAGAGATGGAGTGCAGGGAGGGAGAGCAGAAGAAAGAGAAAGTAGCGGATGTAGAGAAAGGTCAAGGAGGAGAGATACCAGGAGGTAACACAGCAATCTAAGGTCATCAAAAACAGTTCCTGGAGAGATGGCTCAGTGGTTAAGAACACTGACTGCTCTTCCAGAGGACTTGAGTTCATTTCCCAGCACCCACATGGTGGCTAAGGACTGTCTGTAACTCCAAGATCTGACACCCTCACACAAACATACATGCAGGCAAAACACCAATATATATAAAATAGGAATAAATAAATCATGTCTGTCTGTCTGTATGTATGTATATAAATAGGTCCAATCAAGCAGCAACCTGGTTAAAGGAGAAGAGAGTTAGATGTTAGAGGCTTTCTGAACATACCCTCTATGGAAAACACCTAGAGACACAGTAGACATTGCATGGGAGCCAGAGAACTGGCCCCAGATTTGCAAGGGCTGGATGCAAGGTTCCCCCGAGGAGGAAGGAGCAAACAGCGCAAGTGCAGAGAAAGACAATGGGATGCCAAAAATCCTGGGCACCTTGTCAGCTGGGCTACCCACGTGCAAAGAACTGCACTGCACTTTGACCTAGATCGTTCTCGCACTGGCCGGCTACGTTAGCAGGGGCTGTCCTCATTCCCATCTTACAGCTAGGCACACTGAGACTCGGGAAGATGGGCACTTGCCCACTACCCATCGTCGCATGGCTGGGACAGCGCTGGAATTCCCACTCCAGTCTGCAGCCACCTCTGGATTCCTGTTTCTGTGTTCAGGTGGGCTTCGGTGGCTGAGAGGGTTGATGTCTCCTTAGATGCGTGCCCCCACCCAGGGTCCGCCCATCCCGCAGTGACCCTTCCATTTGTCGGACTTCTCCAGCATGCAAACGCCTGACCCAGCTCAGGTGAGGGCAGGCAGCATGCCATTGCGTGTCTCTACCTGTCCCAGCTTCTGTGTCAATGCCGAGAGAGAGAGAGAGAGAGAGAGAGAGAGAGAGAGAGAGAGAGAGAGAGAGAGAGAGAGAGAGAGAGAGAGAGAATGTGTATGTCCTTGTTTAAGCTGCTGTGTAGGGGAGTGAAGGGAGGCCTGGGAGGCTGGGCTGAGGGTGGAGGCCCGAAAGGGGGGGCGTCTTGGACTGAGAGGAGTGGAAATTCTGCAGGAATGTTTACCAGACCCTGGGAGAGTCCAGGGGGACAGCGCCCATTCTCCTAACTCACTAGCCCAGGATCGGACCTCAGACACCATCAACCACAAAAGTCTTCCACCTCCCCAGCCCCTCTCCAAGGCGCCAAGGCCCCTTTAAGACGAGGCCGACCCAGCACTCTTCTCTTTTAGTTAACCCCTCCGAGTCCCAATGGCCCCTGGGCTGGGGCCCTAGTGGGCGGAGGCGGAGGGGGAGCCAGGGGCGGGGAAAAGAAGTCTGGGAGGGAGAGAATGAGGCTGGGTAGCCGGGAAGGCAGCTAGCTGCGGAGGAGTTGAGCCAGCCGAGGGGCTCCCGCTGTGCCAGGCGGGCAGTGCCAAATCCCTGGAGCCTAGAGCTGGGGGGAGGGCCGGGGACAACCCGGCCCTGCCCCCTTCCCGAGAGAGGTGCCCATCAACTTCGGAAGAAAGTTTGGCAACGATTGCTGTAGTGGTGTCCTGAGGATGGGCAGGGTCCCGCTGGCCTGGTGCTTGGCGCTGTGGTGCTGGGGGTACGCGGCTCCTAAGGGTGAGTGATGGGGACTCCCTGAGGAGTGACACCCGCTGATGGGACACAGGGCAGGGGGAGTGAGCGGGTGGGGGCTGGCTGGCAGGTGTTTGGGGTGCTGGGCTGGTTTAGGGAGTTTCCTTAGGACGACAGAGAGCCGACTTGCGGGAGATGGGGGTGGGGGGACGGGGACAGAAAGAAACAGACTCGGAGCAGAGTGGAGGGGTAAGAAAAGCAACTGAGAGAGGAACAGAAGGATAAGAAACAGAAACTGGGAGGGTCAGGACCAGAAGATGGACGGGGCAGAAAGACAGATGGAAGAAGCTAAGGGAGGGCTGGGGACTGATGAATCTGGGTCCTGAGGAGAGAGACAGAACTCGGGTGGTGGGGGACAGACGGTTGGAAAGGGACTTTCCCTAACAAAGGTAGAGACAGGCTGAAGAAGGGGGGCTTGGGAGTCCTGGGGCCCCCTTGTCACTGCTGTCCCCCTCCACCACTTGTTCTTGCCCTGCTGGAGTGCGCTCTCTCTATCTATCTCTCTCTATCTATATCTATCTCTCTCTCTCTGTCTCTCTCTCTTCCTCTCCCTCCCTTCTTCCCTCCCTCCCCCCTTCCCTTCACTTCTCTGCTCCGTTTTCTTTCCCTCTATCTCCCAGTTCAGACTGTGAAGTCCCTGGAGACCGGAATGGCAGGGACCGGCCTTGCCAGGCAGTCCAGGGCGTGGGAGGCTGCCAGATCCCAGGCCTTCCTCCCAGCAGACTGAACATGGGATGGAAGCCGGACCTCAGTCCCCTGGGAAGACTCCCATCCTCCCCCAATGCCTCTACTCCCACCCCTCCCCTGAGATCATTCTACAACTATGTAGGGTCCTGGCAGTGGTGGGCAGACAGAAGGAGTAGAAGAGAGGAGCAACGGACTGTGGGGTTCCTAAACACACTCCTTACCATCTCCCCGACAGACACACAGACCGAGGCTGACAGTCTGTTTGTGGGGAACCCAGGGAATATCACCGGTGCCAGAGGACTCACAGGAACCCTTCGATGTGAGCTCCAGGTTCAGGGGGAGCCCCCCGAGGTCATGTGGCTTCGAGACGAACAGATCTTAGAGCTGGCTGATAACACCCAGACCCAGGTGCCCCTGGGGGAAGACTGGCAAGATGAATGGAAAGTCGTCAGTCAGCTCAGGTGTGGCACCTGTCCCTGACCAGCGGTCTCCGTGCACACAGCCACTGGGCAGCCACTCTACCTGGACCGGGAACCTCTGCTTGACAGCTTACTGGCCATGTGGCCCTGAACTTGTGATGTGATCTCTGGGTTTCGTTTTCCTCTTCTGTACAAATGAGTTAAAAATAGTGCCTATTTCAGTCCTCTATGGGTTTCTTGTCCAGACCCTCTCTTTCAGTTCTGCTGATTCTCCCGGTATCGAGTCCTAACCCTGAACCACTCTGTCCCTTCTCTTCCCTTCCAGAATCTCATCCCTGCAGCTTGAAGATGCAGGAAAGTACCAGTGTATGGTGCACCTGGGAGGACGGACCTTCATGTCTCAGCCGGGCTATGTAGGGCTGGAAGGTGAGTTCTCGGGTCAGAGCTTCTGATGGCACGGTGGGTAATAGAGAACTCAGAGTTTTTCCATCAGGACATAAAGCCTAGAGATGTAGGGAATCGTGAGGGTTGAGGAGGCTGGGGGGGCATAAATTATGTTGGGAACAGGTCTAAGGGAAATCCTATGTCCCAGAGGGAAAGGCATTTGGGGAGATATTGGATGTCCTGGGAGAGCAGATATATTTGAAGCAGGATATGGTAAGGGTCAGAGACATGTGACTTAATGTTCCTATCATGCCAAGGACATAATTTCTTCATTAGTAAAATGATAGAAGGAAACCCAGGCATGGTGATACACACATAAAGCACCACCTTCAGGAGGCTGAGGCAGGAGGATCTGCAGTTTGAGGCCAATCTGTGGTATATAGCAAGACCCTGTCTCAAAAAGAGAAGAGACAGGCATGGTGGTGTACACCTTTAATTCCAGCACTGAGAAGTCAGAGAGAGGAGGATCTCTGTGAGTTCAAGGCCAGCCTGGTCTACAAAGTGAATTACAAGACAGCAAGGGCTGTGTAGAGAAACCCTGTCTCAAACAAAACAAAACAAAAACAACAAATAACAACAACAACAACAACAAACACAGAGAGGTGGGAGGTGGGGAGAAGGAAGGGGAGGATGAGGAAGAGAAAAAAAAAACAGGAGAAGAGGTGAGACTCTCATATGCCCTGCCCTAGATATTGCCCAAGGTGGTGAGGCAGACATTGGAAGCATGGTCCTAGGCACAGACGCATAAAGAAATCAGAATAAGGGAAAAGTCAAAGACCCTGCAGGGTAGGTCAAGTGTTTAGCACTTCCAATATCCTAATGACAATCTGGTCCCTGAGAAGTTCAGGGGAACTCAGTTTCTACCACCAACTGCCCAGGTCTCCCATACTTTCTGGAGGAGCCTGAGGATAAAGCTGTGCCAGCCAACACCCCCTTCAACCTAAGCTGCCAAGCCCAGGGACCGCCTGAACCCGTGAACCTATTCTGGCTTCAAGATGCTGTTCCCCTGGCCCCCGTCATAGGCCACAGCTCTCAGCACAGGCTGCAAGCTCCAGGTGAGTCCAAGAGTAGAGCATGGGCCCATCAATCACTGCGGCTGTCCACTTGTCCCTGTGTCTGACTCTCTGTCTTATTTTCCTCTCTGTGACTTTTTCATCTGTCTGTTCTCCATCCCTCTGTTTCTCAAACATTTTCTCACTGTTTCTCTGTGTATGTTTCTGTTCACCCCCAGCTTCTCTCTGTTCACCCTAGCCTCTCTCTCTCTGAATAGCATTCTTTGTCCCAAATTTCCTCTCAGCTGTTCAGTGGCCCAAGTGTGTAGGCCTACTGCTCCTTTGTTAGCCCTTAACCCAAGCAGGGCATCAGAACTAACCAACAACCTCCTCCATCCACTTCCTCCTTCGACCTGCCCACCTCCTGCCCTGAAGTGTCCCCTGGACCTCAACCAATGGGAGGAGGTCTCTGCTCAGCTGGGGTTTCCTGGGAACACAGAGCCCAGAGTAGAACGAGGTAGAGAAAGTGACCCACAGAGAAGGAAAATTAGAGAAGACGAGATGAAGGCTCATACCTACAATCCCAGAACTTGGGAAGCTGAGGCAGAAGGATTTTCAGCAGTCTGAGGTCTGTCTAGATGACACAGTGCATTCTAGGCAGCCTGGGTTACAGTGTGAGACCCTGTCGATAAGGAAAAACAAAGGGCAGAGGTGCTGATCAGTCGGTGGGATGCTTGCCTGAGTCCATTCGAAGCACTCCATACTTGGTGGTGAATGCCTGTAACATTAGCACTTGGGTGGCGGAGGCAGCAGTACCTGAAGGTCCAGACCACCTTCAACTATGTATCAAGTTCAAAGCTAGCTCTGGCTACATTCTGAGTTTGAAACTAGCCTGGGCTATAGAAGTCCTTGTCTCAAAAGAGAAGAGGCCACCAAAGTGATCCAGCATGGAGAGACACTGATAGTGTGATCTGAATGTTGGGACCCCTATTTCAGAATGACCCTCCCTTTCTGTACTATACAGATGGGGCACTCTGCTTAGGAACACACAGTCATCAGACATGGCTAGGGGACCTTGCGCATAGAGTGTCCCCTTATAGAAGAAGATGAGCTACACATGGGGGTAGCTCATCAGGGGAGGCAGCCAAACCCTAAGAGGAACAGCTTCCTAAAAACCTCACCTGCTGCTCCTCGGGAGGTGAGAAGGGGTCTTTCGGTGTGGAGGGAAGGGCTCACATTCTTAGCATTCTGGGAGTCCTGAGTGTGCAAGGAAGTGTGATGAGTGTGCCGGCCCCCAGAGGGATGACTCAGGCCTGTGGCTTGAGTGGTCTGGTAGGAATAGGAATGGAGCCTGAGTCAGCCTGGCTGGACAAGAAGAGGGGGAGGGAGCAATGGGACACACAAGTGTAAGAGGGTCTCGTGTGAATAACAGCACGTTATGACCAGATCAGAAGCACCTGCAGAGAGGTAAGGAACTCAGAACACATCTGCTGGGGAAGGGGGACATCTACACATGTAGCCGTGCCCGCCTGAATCAGCGTATCCATCAGCACCGACTGCCTTGTAGGAGAGTATGTCGTACTGGGGACCAGCTTCTGTGGCTCTCTGAGTGTTCTTGTGGGTGTCACTAAATATCAATACCGGCTACTGGTTTTCCCTCTGTGTTCTGTGTCCACGGCTGTTGACACTGTGGAGGCCAGAGCTGTTGACACCATATGGCTAGCTTGAGCACTTTTGTGTATTAAGGCAACACATTGGCTCACGGGAGTGCACCTGTGGGTCACTGTCCTGGCGTGAGGTCACATGGGGCATGGCAGCGTGTGCCTGTAATCCCTGCACTGTCAACATGAATTCTGTGTCTTAGTATGTACAAAAGAGAGAGCGACAAAGAGGCTGAGATTCGCAGCAGAATATTATAACAGGCTTCTGCTCTCTCTGGGGTCTCCCTGTACTAACTCCCCCTGATTCTTGGTGACTGAACCCCAGGCACTCACCTGTCATCCATGCATCTGCGCCAACCCATATGTATGTGGCAACATCCCCATCTTGCGGTCTCCACGGAGGGCCGTCGTGGCTATGCAATACTTGTGTTTTCCCATCCGCCTGCGTCTGTGTTCTGGCAGGGATAAAGGCTTGGCAATCTCCACCCCGTCTCTTGGGGGTATGATGTGGTGGTGGTGGGGTTAACATTAACTTTTATTGCTTCCTAGTTTGTAGTATTTGTTTGTCCTTGTCAATGTTGACATGTGTTTGGTGCTCAGTGCGTAGTCTGCTGAGATTTGTTTGTCAATATGAACGTCTATGTATATTATTTGGCCAGGTGTTTACAGTGGATGTGTGCAGGTTGGATTGTGTATTTATGTGTTCCTCCCCACATTGGTTGGCTTATGGGGGGGGAGCTAGCCTCATCGTCAGCCCCCATGTGTTTACCAGTAAGTCCCAGGGCATTTATGTCACTGTGTTTGGGACAGCATCCGCCCTGTGGATGGTGTATAGCTTAGCCAGAGCTGCATTCTTGTGTTTATATTCGCGCTAATAACGGCCCCTGTGTATTTAAGAGTGATTCACTGTGGGGGGAGGGGAGGGTGCTTTGTGAAGGAATTTTGTCAGTTTGTGCGTGTGTGTATGCCTCTGTCCCTCTCTATCTGAGTCAGGGCGTGTCCTCTTCTCTCTCCATCTCTCGTTCCCCTGGAAAAGCCAAGGGTGGGGGTGAGCGGATGGGGTGGGGGCGGGGCAGTACATCTGGAAAACACATCTGGAGTCCACAGGATCTTGTGGAGCAATGGAGTGCAGGAGGAGAGAGGGGTCCCAGACCCCTTGGTTCATCCTAGAGTCCTTATTTGAGATGCAGCCTCGGGGACATGAGAATGTGGAACCCCAGGCTGTGCCCCCAGGACAGGCCGGAAGTGGAGGGTGGGGGCGCCCCGTGACTCAGGCGGGGGCAGGAATGCTGCGGTTGGAACAGAACCGAGCTCCAGAACCCCCCTCCCCCCGCCCCGCTTTGCCCCAGGGTTGCTCCGGCTGGCCTGTGGCGCCAGCTCCCGCGTAGTGGTCCCCACGTGCCAGGTGGCTGGATGCGATCCAGCGCTGGCAACCTCTAGCCGCCCTTACTGGGCCACGCATCCCTTCTCAGGCTGCGGGGGCTGCGGCGCGGGCACCTGACCTTGGCGGGAACGCAGTCCTCCCCGGCAGCCTCGGCTAGGGCCCTTCCTTGCCCACCCCCTTCCGGCCTTCGAGACAGATTTTCCCCAGTTCCACTCCCTCTGCTGACCGAGAAAAGGAAACTTTGTGTCTGACTAGCGAGGCCACTCTCCAAAATACCAGGTGGAGGGAACGCCGCGCTCGCACAAATGTAGATGCCAGAATCACACAAGTACACGATGTCCCCAGACTTACACGAGCCATGAAACACAGATGGGTAAACGCACGCACATCAGCATCCACCACGCTCAGAATTGCAGGCCCAATACTAGGGCCTTCACTCATCTTTTACACTGACATGCATGTATCAGGGACCTTGCACAAATGGGCAATGCATATCTGTGTGTTTGCATGCTTGTGTCTTGGTGTTTGTATTTGTACATTTGTGTGTGTGTGTGCATGGTGGTGACACAGGTGTACACACAGAAGGGGTGGGTACACAGAGACAAAAATGAGGGAGGGACTCAGACAAGTTCCTTGGACCACAAATTTCTCCCAGAAAAACAAAGACGTTTATTCAAAACATATTAACTGGCTTGCATGCCTGTTACATTATACAATCTCCCCTTTCTTCCTTGCACACCCAAAGACAGATGCACACACACGTGAGTTCATTTGCTTCTCAGGCTTAGTTTTGCCTGCCTATAATCCTAGCTACTCCGGATGCTGAGACAAGAGAATTACATGTTCAAAACCCTTCTGAGCTACAGGGTCTGCTCAAGCCAGTCTGGAAAATTCAAAGAAAAAGCAAAAGGAAGCCTGGGGATGTAGTTTAGCAGTGGGCATCTATCTAGAATCATCAGAGAGGACCTGGGGGTGTGGCTCATGAGTAGAGCATTGAATTAACATGCACAAAGCCCTGGACTTAATCAGAAAGATGCAGTCGAGCTGGAGAGATGGCTAAGCCAATAAGAGTATCTACTGTTCTTGCAGAGGACCCAAGTTCAGTTCCCAGCACCTACAAGGGCCAACTCACAACCTCCTGTACTTCTACCTCCTAGGAATCCCATGCCTTCTTCTGACCTTTGAGGTCACCTGAACACGTGTGGTAGACACACACACACACACACACACTACTAAATCTTTTTAAAAATTCACTCACTCATTCAACAGATGTTTGTGGAGCATGCACTGTGTGCCAGGCCATGCTGCCACCATAGGGTTCCTTAAACAGATGAGCTCGGCTCTCCTAGAATGGACAGTCTGTTGAGGGAGAGTCCTTAGCAATATGGTTCTTGGGTATCCTGTGAAGCATACTGGCAACGAGGAGGTGGGAACAGCAAAGCAGGGGAGAGGGCAGATATGGAGGCAGGTTTCAGTTCTACACGGACTAGTCAGGGACAGGGTAACTAGCTTAGGTGTGTCATCCGAGAAGAAAGCCTAAAGGAAGGAGGGAGAAGTCTGATAGGTACCCATGGGAAGACTGTGTGTGCGTGCATGTGTTTGTGTGTGTGTAAGAGAGAGACAGACAGACACACACACACACACACACACACACACACACAGAGACAGAGAGAGAAACCGAGAAACACCAGAAGGCCAGCGTGTCAGTAGCAGACTGAAGAGAAAGCAGGTGTAGGAGACAAATTCATCAATGAGCAAACACTTGTACACACCACACACGTCCGTCCTTAAGTGTGTGTTCATTGTTTGTGTCTCTCTGGAAATCTGTGTGGGCCTGTGTGAGTATGTGTTGATACGTTGGTACATGTGTGCAAGGGCCCGGCTCACTTTCTCTGCAGTGATGGTGACTGAACCCAGGGCCTTCCACACCATGGGAAAGTACTCCACCACTGAGCCACATCCAGAATCTTGCTTTCGATCTGCTATTTATTTCTTTTATATGTATGTGTATGTGCCTGAGTGTAGGTGTGTAGACCACAAACAAGCTGTGATAATGGAGGTCAGAGAGGGCATTGGATCCCCTGGAACTGACATTATAGGCAGTCGTGAGCTGCCATGTGTGTGCTGGGAACTGAACCCAGGTCCTCTGCAAGAGCAGTCAGTGCTCTTAACCACTAAGCCGCCTCTCCAGCCCCTTTCAATCTGTTTTTACTGTCTAATTTTGAGACTGAGTCCTGTACTCACACTGCCAGGCAGGCTTGAATTTGAGATCCCCCTGCCTCAGCTTGCTAATTATCTGAAATGACAGGTGTGTACCGTCTGGCTCGGCAGATGTGAGTGCTTCGTGTGTCTTAATGAGTCTGTGTGAGTTGAGTGTGTGTGTGTGTGTGTGTGTGTGTGCGCGCGTATATGTATGTAAGCATGCGTGTTTCTGTGTGTACCCGCATATGTGTGTATGTGGCTGTGTGGACCACTGTCTGGGTATGACGGTGTAACTATGTGAGCCTGCATGGGTCATGTGTGTTCGTGCACTCATGTAGTGAGGCATAAGACTGGTGTCTGGAAAAGGAATCCATGCTCCTAACATGTTGTTCTCTTTCCCCTGCACTTCCATTCCATGTGGAGGTGGGCTGGACTGACCTGGCCAGGCCAAGCAAGGTGTGGGGGCTCAGCATAGCCTGGGGTCTCTCCTTCCCCCACGTGACACTGGACTGCTTTCTCATATTCTTCCCCAGGCCTGAACAAGACGTCTTCTTTCTCCTGTGAAGCCCACAATGCCAAGGGCGTCACCACCTCCCGCACAGCTACTATCACAGGTGACAACAAGAATCTTTGGGGAGGCTGGACGAGAGGCCAGAGAAGGTGGAGGGAATGTGGCCAGCTTTGGGGGACGGTTCCCAAGAGTCAGCCTTTCCCTCATCTGTCCACAGTGCTCCCCCAGAGGCCTCGCCATCTCCACGTGGTTTCAAGACATCCCACGGAGCTAGAGGTAGCTTGGACCCCTGGCCTGAGTGGCATCTATCCTCTTACCCACTGCAACCTGCAGGTGAGACCCTCTGACACTGATCGCTTCCATCCGTGCCCCACGGAAAACCAGCCCTTCCACACCAGTGTTGGGAAAGAACAAGGACACTAGTTAATTCAAGTGTCCTGGGTTTTAATCCCCACCTTACCTGTTGGCTGTGTGGACTTGAGAAAATTCCATAACCATTGTGGACCTCAGCTCTCCCATCTCTAAGATGGGCATGAGGGTAACAGTTATGGGATAGGAATGAGAATTCAGAAAATGAAGGCAAGTAGCCAACTTAAAGCAGTGTCTGGAGATGTATTATGGGCTATTAACTGATGATATTGACCTTGGCCAGATGGGGAGCTCTGAGCCAGCAGGACTTGTGGCTGTTACAGCCACAGCACTATATACTTACTGTCTTTGCCCTGACCACTCTAGGTTGTCACTGTCTGCAGCGGGTCTGTCCCCCTCTGGCATGTGGGCTCTGAGGACAATACTGTTAGTCACATGGTCACCCCAGTGTTGCCTAGTACATAAGTCAGACTGATGAGGCTGATGGTAGAGCCCCTGCCTAGAATCCCCCAGTGAGGGGCTGGGGTGTGGCTCAGTGGTAGAGCCCCTGCCTAGAATCCCCCAGTGAGGGGCTGGGGGGTGTGGCTCAGTGGTAGAGCCCCTGCCTAGAATCCCAAGGGGCTGGAAGTGTGGCTCAGTGGTAGAGCCCCTGCCTAGAATCCCCCAGTGAGGGGCTGGGGTGTGGCTCAGTGGTAGAGCCCCCTGCCTAGAATCCCAAGGGGCTGGAAGTGTGGCTCAGTGGTAGAGCCCCTGCCTAGAATTTACCACAGAGAGGCGTTCTCTTTCAAGGTATAGAACTGAGAGATCCAGGAAGGAAAATGGCCGCCCCCTAGCTAGAAGACCAAAACTGAGATTCAATCCTGAAGTTTCTCCAACTTGAAAGGCCTCCAGTGTCGGTCAGGCAGCAGCTGCACTCCTACCCACATCCAGGCAGTGCCCAAGAAAAGCAGAAGTGTGTGTTCCTCCCTCTCCAGGTCTCACTTCCTGCTGCCACAGGCTCAGGCTGGACAGTTCCTGAGGGAGGGTCATGGCTGTCCCAGGGAAAAGAGAAGTAGGAGTGGGTTTGAGCCCACTGTCTGCACCCATCTCCCCTTTGTCCTGGCAGAGGTTCCTCTTCCCATCTGTCACTGTAGGTCAGAGAGCAGGCCTGTCCCCTCCTGCTTCCCACCACTGGCTTGCCTCCTTCTCAGGTCTTGTAATAACGGTGTCACCCTCTCTCTGGGGACTGTGTCACTTTGGGAAAGCTACTGAAATTCTGGGTCTCAACCTCACCATCTATAAAATTGGAAGGTGAAAAAGAATTGAGCCTATAAGTGGAGAAGAGGAATTAGGTGTCCTTACTCACGAACAGGAGGTTTAACAAGGTCTTAGCACATAGTAGGCACTTGAAAAATATTTTGGGGGGCTGAGGTATAGTTCAGTGGTTAAATATTTGCGTGACATGTATGAGACCTTTGGGTTTGTCTCCAGTCACGCCAAGAAAGGGGGGTTGAGGGTATGTCTCAGTCAGCACAGTGCTTAGCATGCAACCTTGGGGACATGAGTTTGATCCCTCAAACCAACACCAAAGAGAAGAGCGTAGTGGAACACACTTGTAATACCAGTACTGGGCAGATGGAGATGGCCGATCCCCAGAACTCACTGGCTGGCCATCTTAGCCAGATCAGTGAGTTCCACGTCCTATTGAGAGACCCTGTCTCAAAAAACAATGTGGGGGCCAGCAAGATGGCTCAGCAGGTAAAGGAAATCAATTCCCAGGACCCAAGTGTAGTAGGAAAGAACTGACTCACGGAAATTGTCCTGCAATGCACATACTCACACTCACAAATAAATAACCATAACAACAACACCAGGCATAGTGGAATATGCCCTTTGTCTCTGTCTCTGGAGAGTAAGAGGCAGGTGGATCGCTTGAGTTTGAAGCCAGATTGGTCTATGTAGCAAGTTCCACACCAGCCAGGAATACACAGTGACACTCTATTTCAGAAAAAAAAAAAAAAAAAAGAAGTCAGGAAGAGAGCAAATTGAGATTATTCTGTATAGACAAACTAATCTACATCGTTTGACATATGACAAGTCCCCTTGTCACTCAATAAGAAGCAAGATCTGGAGACTGGCTTTTTCTTTTTGTTTTTCAAGACAAGTTTTTTTCTGTATAGCCCTAACTGTCCTGGAACTCGTTCTATAGACCAGGCTGGTCTCAAACTCCCAAGATCTCCCTACCTCTGCTTCCCTAGTGCTGGGATTAAAGGCAAGTGCTACCACTGCCTGGCCCTGATTCATTTTCTTCAAGATAAGATTTTTTTTTTCCTGAGACAAGGCTGTCCTTGAATTGGTGAGTCTACCGCCTCACTGAGAGCTGGGATTCTGGGTGTGTGTCACTGAGAGCTGGGATTATGGGGTGTATCACCACACCAGCTGCGCAACCACAGTTAATCTTTTTGTTTATGTGTTTGTTTGGTCTGGTCTTTTTGTTGTTGTTTTGGGGCTTTGTTTATGGGTGTTTGTCTGTGTGACACTGGGGACCCAGTGTGTGCACTGGGCAAGTGCTCTACACTGAACCACTCCTTCAGCTTGTACCTTTCTTTCAAGGTATCTCTGGTCCTCTAAATGAGGACGTTGAGGCTCAGAAAGGGCAAAGGGAGTCTTGCCAGAGGTGGCTTTTGCAAATGGCAAGACATGGATGGTGAGACCATATGGCTTCTTTGCAAATCTGAGTATCTGTCCATGTTGTCCTGTTGTGAAGTTACAATATACATGCATGCGAATGCAAAGAGATGTGTACACACTCAGAGACAACTGCATACTCAGATGCACACATAGAGAGAGACATCCACACCCACATATCTACTATATAGATACTATTACAAAGTTATATAGTCTCACTGGGACCACGATCAAGAGTGGTGAGACTGTCCTCTGGTCCTCATGTCTTCCCGATCCTCAGGCTGTACTGTCAGACGATGGGGTGGGCATCTGGCTGGGAGAGCCAGATCCTCCAGAAGAACCTCTCACGTTGCAAGTATCTGTGCCCCCTCACCAGCTTCGGCTGGAAAAGCTCCTTCCTCATACCCCATATCACATCCGGGTATCCTGCACCAGCAGCCAGGGCCCCTCGCCCTGGACCCATTGGCTTCCTGTGGAGACCACGGAAGGAGGTAAGAAGGTCTTGGGAGGAAGATGCCATTGTGCTTTGCTTTGTGCAAGCTTCTCCTCTCACCCCGTTACCCCACATGGCCTTAGTCTCCTTGTCCAGCCCCTGACCCCTGCCTGCTGGCCTCTCCCCAGATCTCTCCCTGAACTTCCGCTCATGGAAGGCCTGCAAGAATTGCCCACGCGTGTGCTCTTTGCAACCTGCCCCACTTCGTGGGAACAGGGGAGGGGGTCAGGAAGAGGTGGGGGTACCAGCTTCCCTCTTCCCTGTCCTCCAGTGCCCTTGGGCCCCCCTGAGAACGTTAGCGCCATGCGGAATGGGAGCCAGGCCCTCGTGCGTTGGCAGGAGCCAAGGGTGCCCCTGCAGGGAACCCTGTTAGGGTACCGGTTGGCATATCGAGGCCAGGACACCCCCGAGGTGGGTGCTGCTGGCTGGGTTAGGGTGGAATGGTTGTGGGAAGAGGGAACTGGGGAAGAGGTGACAAAGTAGACACAGGCAGCTGTGCAAGTCGGGTACTATACATTGCACCATGCCTACTAAGGCAATGCCGAGGATCCTAAATGGGTCCACAAGGCAGGGGCTAAGGAGTGTCTTTTTGTGAGCACTGTAAAAGCACCTTCTTGGGTTTGGTATTGTAAGCTTTACAGCATCTTATGGAAGGGGTGCTTCTTTAATTTATACAAATGTTTTATCTGGGCTAGCTGTACCCCAAGGTGGAGAGAGGGGATGGAAAGTTAGAAGAGGTTGGATGGAAGTGAAAAAATGAGATTTTGTTTCTTCAACAAAATCTGAGCTGTGCCTGGTGCCAAATACTGTTTGGAGCTAAAGATGTTGCTAGGAATGAGGTGGAGTCCCTGCTCTATGCAGTTGGCCTTCCAGAGTGCATGGGGCTAGAGATATGGAGACGGGGTAGAGATGAGGGACTAAGGATGAGGAAGAGTTGAGGCTGTAGTCTTAGGAGTTCTGGACCTAAATATCAGTACTGATGTCACCTCTGGACTTCCTAGGTACTTATGGACATAGGACTAAAGCGAGAGGTGACCCTGAAACTTCGGGAGGACAGGCCTGTGGCTAACCTGACTGTGTCTGTGGCAGCCTATACTTCTGCTGGGGATGGGCCCTGGAGCCTTCCTGTGCCCCTGGAGCCCTGGCGCCCAGGTAACTTCAAAGCCATGCCCAGGCCCCTTCCAGATGCCCTTGGGATTGCCTCTTTCTGGCACCCTTGATTTGCTCCCCACGCCTCTGGATGCTCCCCCAACTTAGAGTCTGTTCCCACCCTGAGCCCAACACAGAGCCTCCCTCCAACCGTTCACTGTGTCACGCCAGTTTTGCCTTCGCTGAGCACATCTCCCTTCTGTCCTTTCTCCTCACAGGGCAAGGACAGCCACTCCACCATCTGGGTAAGGGCTTTTGTATCCCCTCTCTTTCCCTCCCTTCAACATGCAGTGAGGGTCACACGTACTTTCCACACTCCCTTCATGCCTCCCAAGCATGTTGCTCTAATCCTCCACTTCTTTGATATCTGTGGTCCTGGATGGAGGTGTCTAGAATGGCCCAGTGAATGGTTGAGTGGATAGATTCAAGGACACATGGGTATGTGAGGGGTGAATTAATATACACTGAATGGTTTAGTGCATGCATGAATGGATGGGTATGCGGAGAAGGGGTTGACAGACACAAAGATGGATAGATGTATGTGTGTGGGGGGAAAGACTGAAGGATAGCGGAGCACAGATCCCAGCACTTAGGATGCAGAGGCAGATCTCAAGTAGTGAGTTCACGGACAGGATAAACGGATGCATGTTGGGTGGGCATATGGAGTGTGAATTGGTATACATATAGATGAATGCACATATAGACAGGCCAATGGATAAATGAGTGGGTGGAAGGTATGAGGGATGAATAGACAGAGCAATGGAAGGAAGGGAGGGAGGGAGGAGGAGGGAAGAATGGGAGAAAAGAGGAGAAGGAGGGAGGAGAAAGAAGGAGAGAGGTTCTCTCTTTCAAATATTTCTTCAGCAATTCTCAAACATTCTACCTACTTCCACTGGACCCTTCGGGCACTGTTGTGCCTCCACTCAGAACGCAACTCACTTTCTTTAAATGCCCTTTGCAGACCCGCTCATACTTCTCCTCACCCGCCCTCCTCTCAAGCCTGTTACAACCCTTCGTTCCTCACACATGTCCAACATGCTCTCAACTTCTGTTTTGAGACAGGGTCCTGTCTCCTGTCCCCTGGCTGGCCTGGAACTCCTAAAGGCAGGCACCACCATGCCCAGTTATGTTCAGTGTCTCTGCGAATACTCTGTGTGTGCCTTACATCCACAACTGCACACGACACAATTGCAGCCACTGAAAAATGGACAGTCCACAGCTGTCCCATACACTATAGCTGCTTTTCCAGGAATTTTACCCACCTTAGACCAAATGCCCTCACCCTTAGCAGTCCTGTTACCTTTCTGTCTCCTCCCTCTGTCCTCCTCCACACACACACACACACACACACACACACACACACACACTCAAATCCTCCCATGCTCTGTTGTACGCCCATCTTTTCCTCGTGCTCTTGCTATTCTCCTCATTTGCCAGTTCACACACTTTGCATGTTCACCACATGCTCTTCTCGTGCCGAATCACATTCTTAGAGATCATTGCTGACAGCCTGTCATGGCAGTGCACGCTTGCAATCCCAGCACTTGGAAGGCTATGGAGGGAGACGGATTAGGAGTTCAAGCCATCCTGAGCTACAACAAACCTAAAAGGAAAAAGAAAAGAGGCGGGGCTGTAGCTCAGTTGGTTAAGTACTTGCCTAGCATGCACGAGGCCCTGGGACCCATACTCAGCACTGCATAAACCAGGCGTGGTGATATATGCCTGTAATCCCAGTGCTCAGGAGATGGAAGCAGGCGGGTCAGAGCTTAAAGGTCATCCTTGGCTACAACTAAATTTGAAGCTAGCCTGTACCAAAACTCATACCCTTTATATGTATATCTGCACTCATACCCACCGCATATATACACATCTACACACTCATACCACTGTATATATGCACCTCTGCACACCCATACCCACTGCATATATACACATTTGCACACTCATACCCACTGTATGCACATCTGCACACTCATACCACTGTATATATACACATCTGCACACCCATACCCACTGTATATATATATATA